GTCCATTTCTAAGAAAACAGAATGCCTCCAGCGTTGCGACAATATTCTTGCTACTGCTGCAGGCAACAGGATGAAATAAGCACATAAAACAGGAACTCTGTAGCTCAGACTTGTTCATCCCAAGGCTATAGATCTGTACTGATATTCAGTTGCCTTTTCTCTACTGACATGTAACTGCTTTGAGAATATTTCCCTGATCATGTGATGAGGGGTAGGGGAAAGAAAAAGACATGACATTCCCTTACCAGTAGTCCTCTAAAATGTCACCTCTCAGCATGCCACAAGGTTCTTTGCCATGGCATGGACCTGAAATTCATTGGGCCTCCTGGAAGGCCATGTTTTTCTCATACAACCAGCCTCATGGTTTATCTTGCAGTGGTCCCAATATTAATACTAATTCCTCTTGTGATATTGAGCAGGGATCAGCAAACACTTTATAGAAAGGTCAAATATTAAATATTTTAGGCTTCACAGGTCATTTGGTCTCCATTGTAATTCCTCAAGTCTGCTTTTGTAGAAGAAAAGCAGTCATAGACAATGATAAACAAATGGATATGGCTCTGTTCTGATAAAACTTTATTTATAAACACTGCTAACAGACAAGATTTAGCCCAAGAGTAACAGTTTGCTAACTCTTGATACAGAGGATGGAAACTCAGAATACTAATAAAAAAATCTTCATATTACATAGTTAAAGGGTAGTACAGAAAATATTTTGAACCTTATTTTCATATATATATTGAATTATATCAAAATCAATTATAAAATCTGCTCATAGAATTTATTCATTTCACTTTTGATTAAAAAACTGTATTGTCATACCTTAGTTTCCATGGCGAGTTGTTCCAGGACCCCCCTTGGATAACAAAATCTATGGATGCTCAAGTCCCTTATAGAAAATGGCATATTATTTGCATGTAACCTACGTACATTCTCCCAAATACTTTAAATCCTCCCTAGATTACTTATGCCCAATAAAATGTTGTATAAATGGTTGTTATACTATATTATTCAGAGAACAATAACAAAAAGGTCTGTATGTGTTTCAGTACAGATGCATTTTAAAAAATACTTTTGCTCTAAGGTTGGTTGAATCAGTGGCTGTGGAACATTGGAAATATAGAGGAAATAACAGTTTCCTCTGCCATCTACAAGCTAGGCATTGCTAACAAAAGAATCCATAAAATGATCAATGAAAACTAGTGAACAATACAGATATATTCTCTTCCTTGTAGGTCATAGTCTTCAAGAATCAAGTCACTCAACATGTAAATATTTTTGATGTTCCACTGTGTGTCGTGAATTCTTCTATGTGTAAAGCATATGGCATCAACAAGGAAGAAAAGGACCTTGGTACAAGGGAGTTTTCAGTCTGGTGGGAGGACACAGAATAAATAATCTGATAAACAGTAAGTACTATAATGTCACAGAGTAGTAAACGCAATGAAAAAATTCAGCAGTACACTATGTTAGCAAGTCACTGACAGAGTGGAGAAGGTAGCAAATAATGGTGTTCAGAGACTTTCTGAGAAGACTTCCTAGAGAAGACCTGAAGGAAAGAAGGAGCCATCCATGCTAATAGCTGGGGGAAGAATTTTCTGAGTTGAGTAAATAGCTTCTAAAGTGCCTGAGGCAGGAATGAGCTTGCCTGTTGGAGAAATCACAAGAAAGGCAATGTCATTTGAGTGTCTGGAATGTCTTTTGAAGGTAGTAAATGATGAGGCCTGAGAGGGGTGTGGGGGCAGAATATACAGGGCTTCTTGGTAAGGAATTTTAACTTTGTTCTTACGTAATGGGAATCTATAGGAAGATTTTAAGGAAGAGAATGATATATTCTTATCCATTTTAAATATATTAATCCCATTATTACATATGGGATGAGAACTATTAAAAGGAGGCTCAATGTGAAATGGTAGGGCCAGGGGTAAGAAGGACTACATCACCCATGAAAAAGACCTACATATCATGGCAGTAAAACCTGACATCCATCAATAGAGACAGTGGGGAGAAGCTTGCCACAAGGCTGCTCCTGCTGCCCAGCTCCTGGGACCAGAAAGGTTTTTATTCCTTCTTAGATCTTCTGATTCTAAAATGTAACAAGCAAGCAACAAAACCTATCTACTGATTGAAAAGTTAGTAAAGTTTCTTAGGGCTCCTCCTTCTATTCTTCAAATGAAATTGTTGGGGACATTTCCACAACACAATTTCAATGAAATGACCCCTGTTAACCTTTCTTGGCAACTGCCATTTTTTCCAATCTCTATGCATAAATCAAAATGTATATTGTCTTCAAAATTAGAGACAAATCATTAAAAGTGTACTACTTATCAACTGTCTACTGACTTCACACATTTAGAAAATCCCTCCACATGTGAAAATAAACCATAAGGCTTGTATTGCAGTCACCAGCCAGCAAAACATTTTGCAAAAGCAGAATACACTTTCTAAGCATTTCTCAAATTCTAGAACATTCTGTATTATAAGTAAGAATATTTTAAATATTTATCTTTGTGAACATTTGAAGAACGGATGAAAGAAAAGAATAGTTCAGGAAGCGTAAAATGTGAATGTTAGCCAGTACATTTCTCTATCCTAGAAAGGTAGGAAGAGACTGAAGACACAGAAAACATTTGTATTTATTGCTATGGACACAAAAGGTAGTCACTTTCAGGTGTTTAGCATTCTTGCTAATAATTCGGAAAAGAGTCATATGCTAGAACAGAGTCAGGCACACCTGGGTGTTTTAGACAATAAAACTGTGATACTGGCCATACTAACTATAATGCTCTTTCTTATTTGACAATTCAAGATAGTGCTATCAACCTTCCTCATGTTAACCACAGAAAGTTCATCTTCTCGAATTAAATCCATCGCATCAAGAGATCAGTGCCACAACAGTTCCAGTACCTATGGTGACCAATAAATCAATCTGCCTTCTTCCTTCCCATCCTATTTAATTGCCAGACAAGAAAAGTTGAGGAATGAAATTTGAGAGCATAAGTCTTATAAAGTGACTTCCAGCAATGGGCAATATCTTTGGAAGAATATTTATAAAAATTCACCTTACCAGTGTTCAAGGAAGGAAATAGATTAACGTAAATTATTATCTAGCATTGATAACATATATTTTTTTTCTGCATCAGAAACTGTTCTAACAGTGATTTCATGAGCTGCATAATAATCATCAGGCTTTGGTTGATTATGTTGTTGAATAAATGGATGAATTCTTTGACATTCTTTGATAGAATCAGCTGCTGCAGTGCACCGCTTCTTACACTATAATAACTACTTGGAATCAAAATAGAAGTAGTACAAGTTTCAGTATCAAGGATACCAAGTGATTACAGTAAAAAGATGTCCATTTGAATGACCAAAATAAATATATTACATGAAATTTAGAACTTGGATAAAGAAAACCTGTAATTGTGGAGAAACTTATGAGAGCCTTTAGAAAGTTCTTTGATGGATGCATTTATTTGGTTTCTTGATCCTCCAACCAATCACATTAGCAATGACAAAAGATATGCAAATTTCAGCAGACAATAGTCAAGCCAAACTGCTCAGACTCATACCAACTGGGACATTTTAAACATCTATTCAGCTTGATTCCCTCTTGCAAGGGTTGATATAACCAAAGAACATTTTAGAAGTTATGCTTGGCTATCATCTGAAAGCTATGCCATAATCATTGACCAAGAACAATGTAAACAAGAATCAGGTTTATTTCACAAAATAAATTAACATATGAAATGTGTGCATGACTTAAGCCCAACAGAATTATGTGTTTGCCCTGTCACTACTGAATAATTGCATAGCAACAAAAAATGTGCATTACTGTTTTTGAATCATGATTTTGATTGTATGTTTTAAGCAAACAAAACATTACATTTTTGGTAGAATAGTTCACTCACAATTTAGTACTAAATTTCACTCCCCACATCCCCCTTAAGGAATCTAGACTATCATCTTATAAATAAGCATATGGCTGGTGTACTGAACATTATAACAAGCTATTCCGTCACATTCATTTATTAACTATGTTACATTTACTATTTGTTTACTAATTTTGCCAAAGAAAACTCAAATATCCTATTATAAACTACTACTGTGAATAGTGCCTAAAACTTTTGCTACAATTATCAAAAGACTGCAGAATTCTATTTATTTTCTATGTTTCTGCCTACTTATTGATCTTTCACCTGTGATCTGTAATAGGAAGATTAACTGCAATTCCAAGTTTGGAAACTTTAGAAGGACCTGGTCCCTGTTCTGTGTCAAATAAAGTAACAGTGATCTTAGTTCAGTCCCTAGTGGACAAAAGCAGAATAACTATTACTTGACTTGATTCAGTGGAGACAGACCTAAGTGTGATCAGACAACAACAACAAAAAGAACATTTGTCCTTTCCCTATCTTTTATCCTTTTACAGGATTTGCTCTGTTAACAGACTACATTCGAGAAGGCTTGTGTTCCTTCTATATGCACCAAGTGAATCTGCTCCGCTTTTCACAAATGGGAACTTTTTTGCCACCCTTCTCATAAATAGCGAATTGAATATACCTGTTATTTGCTGCTTACCTGTTACACAACTAAACAGCATAAAGAGAGAACAAGCCTCAGAATGTGTTTTCACATTTAAGACACAAAGATTCAGCAAAAACTTTTCAGTGGTTTATAGATAAAGAACTACACAAGCTGTTCAATTTGCTTTTTATAAATTGGGATCAAATACACATTTAGCAATAACATTCATGTTGATATGGAGACATTCAGATGCTACCGTCTCTGCAACTAATGCCCTAAGAAGAGCTGTGAAGCTGCAATATGCTCAACCTAAGCTTTCAACCCAAATCTGCAGGTGCACTTCCTGACCAGCCACCACCAGCTCAATTTCTACTCTCACTGTGGGTGAACAACTCCTTCCTGGTGCGTTCACTCTGAAATTTATCTCCTTGATTTCTTTGTCAAGGACAAAAAAAAAAAAAAAAAGAAATGACAGATATAAGTCCTCTGCTCTCCTGTCACTTGCTGAAATCAACAGCTCTTTATTTACATATAGAATCTCTTTAACCATCAATGTTGAAAAAAACAAACATTTCTGTGATGATTTCCCATCCTAGCTGCACAAAATGTCCTGCGGTAAAATCTAGTTGATCCTATTATCAATATTGCCATTATGATTTTCTTTTTCACCAACTTGCTTGAGAAGTGCATGCTTTGGTTTTCTTTTTCAAAGTGGGGTTTTCACAACAGATACTCCTTAAAAAAAGAGAGAGAGAGAGAGAGAAAACCCGAGCTGTCATAAAATGTGCCGCTGTTAGACACACAAGTGGGGGGAGAGGGACACTATACACACATTCCTCAACGTGCACAAGCCCAGAAAACCTTGGCTTACCCAGGAAGTCAAGCCCAGGGAGCCCTCTTGAGCATTTGCAAACACTGCCCCCCTGGAGCAAAGGTAAACACACAAATGCCCCCCTGAGGAACTCTCAAGTTAGCTGCAGAGCAAGAAGGGGGGGCGGGGGGAGGACTCGGTGCAATTAGAAACTGAAAGCAATCACTTACTTTTTGCAGCCACTGAGTATAATTTTCCATCACATGCTCCAGATGTTGAAGTTTCTGGGAAGAAAAATCCGTTTCCACGTGTGGAGCATCCCTCTGCAGAGCGTTTGTGCTGTACTGGTCTGTCGTACTCTCACGACAGTTCCCGTCGTGTTCTGGAAGAATGAAAGTGTAGGCACACTGCCCATGCTGAATCCGGTTGTATCTTCGCCCACTGCTTTCTGGACTTCGGCGCTGGTTGCTGCACCCTATGTGAGTCAGAACGGCAGCGAAGAAAGCAAAGGAAAGGAAAACTGTCATTGTACTGCCCGCACTCTCCTTCCGTGCCTCTCGCAAAACTTGCTCCTCTCTTCTGACCTTTACACTAGTTCTTTATTTCAGGTAAAACTGCTTGTTTGCTTGACTTTTTCCCCCTCAAAGAAAGCGTTTGAAAAAAGAATCATAGAAAACTAGCCATTTGTTAGCTTTGTTCTAAAATGTTATTTTTTTATTTCACTGTAATGATAGTTTCCTTCGTTAAAACTTGAAATATTTATTGCATAGTAGCTGAGATTTATTGTTTCCTCTCTATGTAACCGTTCAGCGTGGAGCCTGCCTGAGTCAGCTGCGTGTACATATTCTAGCCCCTTTCCTCTACCCTATCTGTTGCAGATCTGCTATTTTCTCCCAGACCTCAGTGAGTTTTATTAAGGTTGCACATCCAAGCCAAGCTGGAAGCAGGCAGTCTTTCACAAGATGACTTGACAGGAATGCTTGAGTGTGCCCCTATGCTAAGGATTGCTGATGGCTTTGGGCGGTGGGATCGTCTTACAAATTGGCTAGACGCGCATGACCTCGATCATGTATGGGCCTCCCGCCCCTTCCGCAGACAACTGCCTTGAGCCTTTGGCCATTCACGGAAAATCAATAAATAGAGCAGTCCACCTTAATACACTTCTGGTGTGCATGCTGACCTACTAAAATCGAGAAAGCTAGAACTATATTTTTAAAGTTACTGTTTGATGGAAGTACCCTCAGACGAAAGTTGGTCTGATGAATTATTTTTGATAGCAAATGATAAATCTGCATAATCATTAAATTTATTTTTTAAATATTTATTCTTGACTGAGGGACAATATATTAAAACTATTTTTAGAGATGGTATTCTTTCATTGTATTCACTTAGACATTTAGGAGTTGCAGAAAAGAATCAGAAAGGATGAAATTATCAAGGAAATTACCATAATTTGTCACTCAAAGCAAAATAGCATGTGCATATATAAGTACCTTTAGGGATATGGATTTTAAATGAAACTGGCTCCCTGATCAGAATGCAGCCTTTCCTGCTTTGGGTATATGAACTGAGCAACTTCCCTGGAAAAACAATGTGGTTACAGTTTAAGACAGTGGCCTGAGAATTATTAATTCCTGTGGTACGTACTAATCATATATTTCACAAGGACTTCTTTGGTATTGCTATGGCTATCTTTAACACTGGTATGGAAATTCCACATAAATCCTCTGTGGTTAGAGAGAAACCATCTGAGAACAAGCATGTGTCAGGTGCGCCAATGGCCTGTGCAGGAGAAATCTCTGTGGTTTTATTAAGGAAGAAAAACGATCAGAAGGTGGTTTCCCAAATGTGGAATATAAACGCTTGCACAAAAGGATCCGTAAAATATAAAGAACAGGAGATAATTACAGAATTTAGCACAGCACTGAGCTCTTGGCTGGAAGTGTACATAAAACATGACATAGGAGCACAGGGTTTTATCTGGAACCCGGCTGGCTCTTTGACAAGGGAACCTCACTACTGCAGTCCTGGTGTGCAAACAGAAGCCACAGTGTGACTCCCATGTCCTGGAATGGGAGCAGGGCAGTGGGTGAAGGTCAGTGGTGGTTAGAGATGGGCCTTTAGGGAGAAGTCAGAGAAATAGTCAAAACAAATTCCAGAAAGAATGTGATTTACTTAGGGAAAATCCTCATAGGTCCTCCACACCAAATAACAAATTTCTCATTAACAGATATGGGAGCAAGTATGTCAGACACAGCAATAAAAATCTTTGAACCACTTTTGCACCCTTCTCTTGTACTGTTGTATGATTCTGTTGTGTGAGATGTCACATCGATGCCACAATAATGACAAGAAGAAATTTACTTTATTTCAGCTCATTGTTAAGCACTATCTCATTTAACCATCCCCCAAAAAACCCAATACATGAACTATATGTTTACTCCTGTTTTATAAATAGGAAAACTGAGTCACAGAAAGGCTAATCTGTCACAACTCACTTAACTAACAATTGGTGATGCCAGCATGTGAACTCAAGCAAAGTGACCATCAGGCTAGTCTGCTCTGAAAACCTCTGGGAGAAATGAAAGCCCAAAGGGCTACAGCTGAATTGGTCAACAAAAATAAAGCAGGATAAGTGATGGAACCCAGAAAATAAAAAACAAAAACTATAAGAACCAGTTTACCCCTCCAATGTGATTTAATTCTTTTTCTGCACCTCTCACCTCCCAAAAAAGTGACAGATAATCCCACATCCATCTACTGGAAAAGAGAGCACAGATTGTCTACAAGCACTTTCCAGCATTGATTGCCTTGAAAATTATCCATGGAGAGAAGACTGTCCAAAACCAACACTTGTAATTACTTCGTTAAGAACTAAATACAGCTGAAAACTGGCAGAAAAACTAAAGGATGAGTGGTAAGGTCTCTATTAAGGCACCCTGTGTTTTCCAACAGCTGCAATGGTTGAAAGTCTGTTCTTCTGTATGTATGTCTGTGTGTGCTTGTCCACATGAACTTTACACTCTGAATGAGTGAAAAGGAGTGCACTATTTCCTGAGTAGACAACAAAGAAAGGGAAGTCTGAAATACAAGTTTAAAAAGGGGGTGAACTGGGAGGACAGAGAGAGAGAAAAAAGATACAGACTGATTTCTTTCTTTGCCAGAAAAACAAACTGCATAATTCTGGAGATACTATTGTCAATCTGGCAAAAGTGTCTCAATATCAAATTTAAGCAATCAGAGATAGGCAGTTTTATAATTGAACTGAGGGGACAATAGTGCATTAAACGGTCTTCACCCACTAAACATAACATGCCTTCAGGGGCCATGGATCTAACCAAAAGTCACATTGTTGGTGATTGTTGCTGATTATTCAGAAATTGTTCACAACTCAGGAGACACTGAAATGTAGGGAGTAAATAATGAAGAAAAGCTAATTTAAAAGCAAATTTATTCTATCACACCTCCAAAAAAAAGGTAAAAAAAATTCTGAAGAACTAAACAATCCTATTCAATTGAATTATGAAGTACCCTGATTTGGAGAATTTTGTATTTTATTTAGTTTATGAGGACTCTGGGATAAGGATGTGTGGGCTTTAAGGTTCTGGTCTCATATCTACAAATGTAGTAAATGTCAAAATTTCCAGTGGGGCCAGGAACACCATTTATACAGGAACTTTGTGGCCCTAAGTCTGTGCTATGAACCAGTCTTTGTTACTTCTTTTGTGATGACTTCTTGGTTTTAATAATGCCCAATAAGTGGTTCTCTCTGTTGAATTTCAATAACCTTCTCTTCATATTTCCAAAATAGCATGTCTCACATTTCTTTCTAATTGTTCCTTTTTTTTAGAGGATCTCCCCTTCTAGCTGTGAACTCCTAAAGTGATTTTCTTTCATCATTGATTCCTCAACACTCATTATACACTTTGAAGCAATGAAAGAGTAAATGAATGAGTAAACAAACTAATTAGTTAATTGGTGCAGCTTTCTGATTTTCCAGCTACTACATGGCTGCCCATATCTGTTGCATTTGTTGGGTGAATTTGCCTAGAATCTCTAAGCATAAGGGACCGCAGATGATGCTAGATTTATTCTGAAGAATAAGTTAGACACAATAGTATAGTACAATAATAACAAATAACACATTTAATCCTTAACAATTGTTTTCATTTAATATTTATAGACTCTCCATAGTTATGTGTTATTGTCCCCATTTTGCAGACGAGAAAAGCAGAGTCCATAGCGATTGACTGCCAAAGAGCTATGATTTTTTTATGTGGCAGAAACAGAGTTTGATTTTTAATCTATCTAAATCTGAGGTGCACATTCATATCCCACTGAACTACATTTCTTATAGGAATACTTCAATGTTAGAAAACATTTCTTAGAATTGAGGGGAGAGATACAGTATGGGAACAATATCTAAGATAGGTGTCTTCTTACCCACAGCCTCATAGATTCATGTTATTATCTTCACAAATGAGGTTAATACTAAGCCAGAACTCACAGTATGGTTGCAATTGCCCCACCTGCTTATCAACAGACTGCCTGACTGATGTTACGCTTTCTATACACTCTGAATGATTAGTCCTATACCACATTTTACAGATCTTGACTGTAACCCATGCTCTAAAATAAACTATATAAAGTAAAAAGAGTTTACTTCTCAAAACACCATTAGGCATTGACACACAAGGAAACACTCCTCTGGTATTCATATGAACCCCTGTAAAGGCCAAAGAGGAAAAAGTCTTCTTTCCTCATGTGTCCTGAACACACTTGCAGTTTAGTACACTAAGAGTGCCATGTTCTTGACTCAGTTCTGGCATTTTCAGGGATTAAGACTATGATCAGAACTATGGAAGTGGCAGCTCTATTTAAAAGGAGGGCACTTGGCTATAGTCCCTGGAAGCAAAGCCAGCATCCCTTCACTCAACTATGTAGGTAGCAAAGGTATCCACAACAGATAGATACTACAGAGAACTGAACCAGAAAAAAAGAAAATGGAGGGTATCACCTAGTAACTGACAGCACTGCATGAGTAGATGTGAAATATGAAAGAACTCTCACAAGTGAAAGAACTCTTGGGCTAATTGGGAGGACTTCACAAAGCTGTAGATACGATAACAGGTGTGGTGAGGGCTGGAGACATAGCTAGGTAAGGAAAATAATATTGTTATTATATAGCTCCACCCTCTAATGAGAGAAACTCCTGGTAATTGGTGAGTGTCTTGCTTTCTCAGTTTTTAACTATAGCAGATAAGTTAGAAAGAGCTGAGACAGAATTAATTTGTTCCATCTAAGAAAGGAGGAAAAGATTAAGAGACTGGGGGAAAGATCTGTAAATGAAGAACTGGAGCCAAAGAGGTTGGAAGTTCTTTGGGAGCAGGATCAAACAGGAGAGGGACTTGTGGCCGTGTGGCCATGAGAGACTAAGAAGATACATTGAGTAGGAGTAGGGAGGTTTGTAATGAAATTGTGTTTCCTGTAGATAAAACTCCTCTTATTTATTTAGCAAAATAATATGCTTTTGGGCAAGTGACTTATTTAACATGACTGATAAGAGTGATTGGTCCTTGCTCCATACTGCTAACGTGGATTATATAGACTATTAATGTGAACACAATTGCATGTTGGTTTTCCACACTGGATCAGAGTCATGAGGGCTAAGACTGTGCATGTCTTATTGATCACTGTATTCCTCTTTTCAGGGATCACAGAAGAAGTATTGGGTAAGTATTTGGCATACAGTAGATTAACTGACTCACTCACCTTAATTCTCAGTACTGAGACATGAACACAAAGAAGCATCACCTGCTCCTGAGAGACTTTCAGGTGCTGGTCTTGCCTAGGCCCTAAGGTCCCACTTCCTGACAAGTCAAGGCACTTAGAGGTCATAGAGTCCAAAATAAATCCCAAGAATGGTAAGAGAATAATACCTCAAACTCCTGGCCACCTGTGAGCCTGTATGT